GGTGGGCCTATAGGCGAGCCAGGACGCTTCGCAACTGCATGAATCATCGTCCCTTCTCCTCCTCGACCTCTTCCTTCTTGCTTCCTTCAACCCTTCAACCGGCCTGAGCCATGGAGCCGTACGGGTACGACATCGCACCAGGGGCCGAGCCAGCACCCCCTGACGCACAGAGCGAGGTGGAAGGAGGTAATGAGCTGAGGTGAGCGAGGCGCTGGCTGGACGACGAGTGCACAGCACTGAGATGGTTCGACTGGTCTTTCGCCCCTATACCCAAGTGTGACGAAAGATTTGCACGTCAGTATCGCTACGGAGCACACTGATGGAGAAGGATGAGGGTGCATGTCATGCAGCTCCAAATGGGGGTGGCGGAGATGGAGGGGGCCGACCGGCCGCCACTGTTGCAAGGCAAACGGCGCTCAAAGTATTGCCAATCCCTCTCAGTGTGTTTCGATGTTTCTCATGTTCTCTTATTCCGTCTCGATCTCTCTCACCTAGGCCTGGCGGCGCGCTTAACTTTCGCCACCCCCCCTGGCACCACCCCTATGTGGAGCCGAGAGAGTACCTGGGAAGATAATGAACACCCAGAGGACAACTTGGGAAACGAACAGGTACCGATACTGCTACTCTCCAGATCTCTGCCAGGGTGCGTTCTGACCAGGATCCCTGGGCGAAGCCAGCGATGGCGTGGACGGCCTCCCCCGAAGCACAAAAAGGGGGGAAAACGAGGGAAGGGTAGCAGTATGGGTGCCTAATCCTCCTCCGAGGATGGGCGCAGGAGGAAGGACGAACACACATCCACATGTGGACGCGCCTCACTGCAGCAGGCCCGCACACTCTCTTACCTCACAGGATCAGTTTGCAAGGATCCCGTGCAACAAATAGCGCAACACCCACACGCGCGCAGATGTCAAAATCCGACCAACGCACAATAGTTGCGGAAGTACGAAGCAAACAAACACAGCAACGCGCTGACATTTCATCACAAGTATTGCCTTTTGTCCGCCCGCGCGCATTTGCTGGATTCGGAAGAAAGCCATCTGGTGTCAGCACTCTCGTCTGGAACCCGCATTGCCATCACACCGCGCGTTGAACCGGCGTTGGTCCAGCATGCGCCCAGAACACGAACCCGTATCAAGTAAAACAACGCGGGCTGTTCGCGCGTGCCGCCACGCGCGCGCGCGCGTCGAACCTTCCCAGAACCATTCGTGTGCGAAGCGTTTCACGATGGAGCTCTTGCGCCATCGCATCGCCGCCACTATCGTCACCGCCAATCGCCTCCACTGCCGCCATCATCAAACAATCACCCTCGTCACCGACACATGGAAATCATCATCGTCATCGTCGTCACCAACATCGGCGCCGTCATTGGCCTTGCTGCCGTCATCGTCATCTTCGCCACAACCATCGCTACTGCCGTCCTCGTTGTCACCGTTGCCGACGTCGTCATGATATCGTGCACGCCCGAGATACCGACACGCACTAAGAATACCCGCGCGCCACCGCGGCCTCTGAGACGCGCTGCGGACTTACCATCGGCAAGCGCCATCGCAGCCGCATCAGCTGTGCCAAACCAGCTTGCCGCTCTGCCCGCGAAAGTGCGCTCGCCAGCGCGGCCGCAGATGCGCCAGTCAGGGCCAGGCAGTCACTGCAATCGCGGCCGCATGGGTGTTGCAAAACAAATTGCGGGTGCGAGAGTGGGATGCTTGCGCGAGCAAAGGGGCGGACAACTCATGAATCGGCAAAAGGTTGCACCACAAAACTTACATCACGCAAAGTACACCGCATAGCGTACAGCAGCTTGCTTGCAACACATAGCTGGTACCGCATACCTTACACCACACATATTACACCACATAGGTTACACCACGTAGCGTATGCCACATAGCTCACACCTCATGGCTTACTCATCCACCGTGCGATAACTGAATGCCTGGGGTCACCGCTGGGAAACCTAATACATACATAACACATGCGCCTGTATGTACCACACATGTGTGCGGCTAGCAAACATTTGGCACACAGACTTGCTTTTGCACATGTAGCTCTAGGGTCGATACACATTACTGGTTTTGAGGTGGCAGGAATACCAAAGGCGGTCAAACGCGTCCAGCGAACAGTGTATACTCGAGCGCCCAACTATAACTGAATGACGCAAGAGAAATCCTCCTCCTTGAACCGCTGAAGAAGCCCAGATGCCTGCTGCGTAATAGAGAGTTCTATGCCAGGGGGATCACGGACATTGTTTCAGCCAAGATGGCTAGATGCGTCCACAGCGGCGCAGAGAACTTGGAGAACGGCGGCAAGGTGGCATCTAGACGCAAGAAAACACCTCTGACACTAACATGAACTAGCTCCGTGGCGGGGATGAATAAGCAGAAAGGTGATGACACAATGAGCTAGCAGCGCAGGGCCGACGAACAACAATGTACCCTGAGCTTGCGACGCAAGACGACCAATACCGATGCGCTGATGAAACAATTACGAACATGCAACGGCGGGCAGACTATGAAGTACTGGCACGTTGGGGCTCGCCGCACAACGAGGCAACATGACACTGGCACAACTGCGGGGCAGCCGTGAGGTAGCTGCAAGGTCATTTGCTGGGTATGGAGTATGGGCTAGACGATGAGTCAAGGGGAAGGGGCTAGAGCGCCTCGACTTTCACGCTGGTCTGGAATGTGCCTCCTTCTGGTGGCACTGGCAAAAACAGCGGGCCAACGAAAAGCGCGCTCACCCATCAAGAGAAGCACAATCTGTAGCAAAGGGATGCAACGAGCGACCAAGACCCCAAGCTAATCATTCGGGCAACAAATTTGAAACCTCACGCGAGTGAAACCCCATACGCGTGGAGTTCCATGTATGTTAACGAGCGGAACCCCCCATGTGTGTGGAATCGAATGTGTAAGGAACCCCACGTGTGTCGAAACCCATGTAGGTTGAACTCACTGCGTGTGGAACCCTTTTGCGCCAGGCGGCGATCTACATATGACCGGCGCACGTGGATCGATCTTCGGGGACCTCGGCAAGCGGTGGAGATGGATACATCTGCCCCCCCAACACGGCCCGACTATATCACCATAAACCGGCTATGCCCATGTCCACCGCCTGCCGAGGTCCCTGAAGCCCGATTCCCCTGGCGGCGGCTACAGATCAGTCACCATCTCTCGAACCTGGACAGAACACGGCGTACACATAGACTTTTTCGACGGTCGGCACGGACTTCTTGGATCTGAGCTGGACCCCCCTCCCTTGGGCGCGGAGCGCGCCAGGAGCGGCACCCGAGGCGCCGCCAGGGGGGCCCATCATACCGATCAGATCGGCTACACGCAAGAGTGACCCTGGGTAAGAGTGACCTTTGGTGCGCGGCTTTTGGAGGGCCGCGCGAGGGCCGAACACAAGCGCGCAAGACGTTACTGCCCCATCGCTCTCGGCGATCGGGGGACCCCATTGGGCCCGCACCAAAGGTCACTCCGGCGGAAGGTCACTCTTACGTGTAGTCGTTGATCAGAGCACCTTGCCGTCGCTCGGACGTCCATTCCCTGAGCATTTTTCGGTTCCGTGCGTGTTTTTTTTGTTTTTTGCCAAATGATCAAGGATGCTCCTCGATGGTCCTCGCCGAGAAAAAATGCACACGTCCGAGCGATGCCAAGATACCGATCAGAACACCCGTGCTGGTGCCCGCTGACCGGCTGCGGGGTCTCGGGCGACCGCGTGCGCGTGCGCCCGGAAGCGCGCGCTCGGCTCCTGCCAGGTGCGCCCCGGTAGCCCTCGGCCGAGAGGGCCCGACGCGGGAGAGGCCGCGCGACAGGGCGGAGACGTGACGAAGGAGGAGGCAGCAGAGCAGTCCTCCTCCTCCTCCTCCTCCTCACCCCCCTCCTCCTCCCCCCCCCTCCTCCCCCTCCTCCTCCTCCTCCTCCCTCTCCTCCTCCTCCTCCTCCTCCTCCTCCTCCTCCTCTCCTCCCTCTCCTCCTCCTCCTCCTCCTCCTCCTCCTCCTCCTCCTCCTCCTCTCCTCCTCCTCCTCCTCCTCCTCCTCCTCCTCCTCCTCCTCCTCCTCCTCCTCCTCCTCATCTGTGTGGGCGATGCATCCCCCCCTAAGCCTATCCCCCCAAACGGTGCCCCTGAGGGTCCCCGTCCCTTGAGCAGGGACCGACCGTCCTGGCATTTCTATAGGCCTACCACGAAACGTTCTTAGAACCCAGAAAGGTTCCAAGAACAAAAGCAATGCTCTTAGAACATAAACCCGATGCGTTTAACCAAGACAGCCCCAGCCAGACATGTTCTAAGAACATCTCGTGGAAACCACAAAGGTTCTTAGAACATTCTCTGGTGGGCCTGTGGGGGAGCCAGGACGCTTCGCCGTGCTTGAGAGTCCCCCTCCCCGCGTGCACCATGGCAACCGAGAGGGTGAACCCAACTATTAAAGCATCATCGCTGCCACACCATACTCAGAACGAGAAGGACCAGCAACCACAATATACTTATCATCGGTTCCCATTGGGGACGACCAACTTTATCCCGAGCGTCCTGACCTATGAGGGCGGAACTGGTGACCAAAGTACCCGTGGCACAATAGGGAAAACTGATCGGGGAGATGAGCAACTGTCAGACCGGCTGGGCGGACACACTAGTGGGTTCGGATGCCCTCGGGAAGCCTGTAAAAAGCCCGACCCCACGAGAGGGTCCAGACCGATCAGGGCTGCAAGGGGGTGGGTTCTAACCTGTTGGGTAATCGTTTGTCTTTCTTGGAGGAGGAAGGAGTGGAGGGGGCGGACATTTCGCAGTGGAAGCGCAGCCATGCACGCGTGAGCTCTGTGAGCGTACACACAAGGTGCGCAAGTAGGAGTTACAAACCACTTGTTTTTGACACAAGCGACTTTCAATGCTGGTGCTGCCCGTCGTTTCGACGGCAACTTGAAGACCGTCCAAATAGTGTTGCCCCGCACAGCCCGCAATCGCTGGACGATGCTGCCTTACTTGATCCGACAAGCCGAAAATGCTCTCAACGCACCCTGCTTGCATCCGGGCCCAGCCAATCGCGCAACACCCAGTCCGAGAAGAGCGCGTTGGCCCACCCGAAGCCGTCGCGGTTGTAGGCGCAGGTGTCCGTAGGGGAGAAGCCCTCGTGCAGCTTATTTGTTCTGCACGACGTGGACAGAATCTCCTCCATGCATGTGCGCCGCTCTTCCTCGCTGGTGGCGGTCATGCCCTGCATGATCACCCCCAGATGCCAGATACAGTGGTCGTGACACTCTCGCCCGCGGGCCCCGAGCCGCAGGCCGTGGCTTGCGCGCCTGGAACCCAGGCCCGATAAGCCTTTGTGCCTTTCGCCGTCAAGAGTGAAGCTCGTACCGGAGAAGAAGTTGCGGTTCTCGCCGCTTAGGACGAATCTGCGGGTCGCCTCGTAGAGGCCCGCGGGGTCCTCGTAGCCCAAGTACGGCAACCATAGCAAATTGGGCATGTTGGCGTCGTCCATCGTTGTGCTGTTGCCCCAACCGTCTACCTGGAACGCATAGATATTGTCGCCGCCGCTGGCCGGGACGACTCCGTACCTGCGCACAGCCTGGTCCACGTCGTCAGCCCTTTTCTCCAGCTCTGCCGCGAGGACGACATCCCGCATCGGCCCCTTCGCCATCTCAGCGGCCTTGCGCAGAGCCACCACCAGCATGATGTTCTGCGGGATGTTGTAGCCAGCCAACACCTGGTCGTCGCTGGGCAGCGCAAACGACCACACCAGCCCTATGCCCTCTTTGAACCGTCCCTGCAGCGGCTTACAGGAATACTTGGACTCGGAGAAATGCCACTGCTCGGTCCGCAGCAGGCTGAGGATGACGCGCAGGGCATCTGCGAATTCCGCGTCGAGATGGGCGTCGGATCCAGTCTCCGCCCAGTACCTGTGATGAAGCATCAGTGGAAAGAGGAGAGAATCGAGCTCGTAGTCTTTCTGGTAGGTGTAGTCGCCGCACTCGGGTGCGCAGGTCTTGCAGAAACATTCTTCGCAGCGCGCGCTCGGCGGGCACGACCGCTTGTTGGGACCCGCATCCAAGCCGCTGCCATGGGTTGAATAGAACGCGGATGCGTAGGGATCGCTCAGAATGAACCGAACTTGTCTTAGCATGGCACCCTCCAGCACCCTCCGCAAGGGCTCTCTGCGGAACTCTGGGCCGCCAGGGGGATATACGGCCCCAGCTGCACGGAACTGTCCCGCAGCCACATCTGCTTGATGTCCCCGGTGCTCACGAAGACGGTGCCGTCGCTCTGGAAGAGCGACAGCGCGGAATGCGCGGTGTAGGTGAACGCCTGGAACCACATGCTCGCCAGGGCGTGCCCGTCCAGTCCGCGTAAGTTGCCGACGTGCTTCAGCGCGCCGTGCACGCGCTTCGCCTCGGCCTCGACCGCGCGCGCCGCGCCCTGCAGCAGCTCCTCCGTCACGGCGCCGCGGCGGCCCCGCCTCCGCGACCGCGGCCTCGGCCCCGCTGCGCCGGCCTCCCCGCCGCCCGCGAGGCGCGCAGCCCCCGCGCGCGCCCTCTGGAGGAGGCTGACGGGGCTGACGTCCTCCGCGAGGTCCTCCGCGCTGCAGCTGCCCTCGGGGGCACCCGCCGCCCCGGCCGCCACCGCGGCCGCCGCGGCGGCCGCCCGCGCCAGCGAGCCGCACCGCGCGGTCCTCGCCCGCGCGCTCGGGGGCGGCATGCGCGGAGCGGTGGCCCGCGCGCACGGAGCGCCCACCGCCGCAGCGCTCGAGCCGGACTGGTGGTCCCGAATGGCTACGGAGACCTGTTGGGCAATCGTTGGGGAGGAGAGCGCGCCGTTCGCGCGAAAACAGTTCGCGCGAACTCCGCGGCCGTTCGAGCGAAATCGTTCCGGCGCGTGCGCGCGACAAGGGATGAAGGGATGAAGCGCTGTGGATTCCTCACTGATCGTCATCCTGACCCCCTCTTTTCTGATATCCCCCTCGTCCTCCGTTTCCTCCTCCTCCTCCTCCTTCTCCACCTCCTCCTCCTCGTCCTCCTCCTCACCTTCCTCCTCCCCCTCCACCTCCTCCACCTCCTCCCCCTCCGCCTCCGCCTCCACGACGACGATGAGCGACGAGCCACGAGCGATGACGACGACGACGACGACGACGACGACGACGACGACGACGACGGCGACGACGGCGACGACGACGACGACGACTGCGGACCAAACTCCTATGCGGATTCTTACGCGGACACCTGCGCGGATCCCAGCGCGCACGGCGGCAGTGCCCGGAGCGCACTGGGGGGGGGGAGCGTTACGTCATAGGGGGGGGGGAGCGGGGGCCATGACGCCCGTCATGCCCCAAGCAATAAAGAACTGGTCTCTTGGTGCAAGCTATATGATGTAGGCTATGCGGTGCAATCGATGTGCTGCAAGCCATGTGTCGCAAAGTATCTGGCGTACGCTATGTGGCGTGAGCCGCTTGTGGTGCTTTCGTATGTGGTGCAGGCTGCGTGGCATCTATCGGGCCGGGCGAAAGGGGGGGATAGCAAAGGGGGGGGATTGAGAATCAGCTCACGTAGCTGATTTTCCCGGCGCCTCCCGGCGCCGGAGGCGGCTATGTATCGAGGCCGAAACCAGCTGCATGCAGCAGATTTCGTACCCCCCCCTTTCCCAATCCCCCCCTTTCGTCTGGCCCGAATCTGAGCTGCGTGGTGCAGCCAGTTGGCTGCACATATGTGGCCTGAGATGCTTTTGGGTGCCGGCCGTGCGGCGGAGGCTGCGCGTGCAACCTCTGCGCGGCAGCCCCGCGCGCGAGGCGCCCACGCGGCGGCCACGCACGCACGCCAGGGCGAAACCACGGCTGGGCGCCCACAGACGGCCCAACGGGCGGGCACCGGGCGACACCTCGGCACGCGCACACACAGCGCACGAGGCGCCCACGAGGCGCCCACGAGGCGGGCACGGGGCGAGACCTCGGCACGCCCTCGCGGTGCACGGGGCGCCCACGAGGCGCCCACCACGGGCGGGCCGCGGGCGACACCTCGGCACGCCCAACGAGCGCACGAGGCGGCGGCCACGTGGCGCCCACGGGGGGGGGGGGCACGGGCGGGCACCGGTCGAGGCCTCGGCACGCCCACCCACCACGGGGCCCCCAGCATGCACCCCCACGGGCCCCCGCCAACCAGGCACCGGGCGAAACACCAGGCACACCCCTCCAAGTGCGTCGGGGAGCCAACCGAGAAGAATCCTAACTGCACACGCTGGCTGGGCAATACAGTCAAAACGTATAGGACGCGTGGCAAGGACGCAAGACCCTTGGAGGCTGAAGTTGGGATTTTTTGGGCGGCGACCAATGAAAGCGGCAAAGGACGGGCCACAGAGGCAAGGACGCGAGGGTATCCTAGATGAAGGCGCGCGTCCATATTAGGCGCGTTGACTGTCAGATCATCTCAGACGAGGCGGTATCGCCCCTTTCATCCCCTTCAGACAATTCATGCGGTGCGCATGAACTGATCTAAGAATTGCGGTATGTGACAGTCCTGGTCGAGTACGGCCACGCGGGCCACACGCGCGTGCCTCCCTCCCCGCGCGCGCATGCAAACATCGGTCATACAATATGTATTCCGTCGCCACACAACACAGACTTACAGGGCAATTTTTAATTCACATGATACTTTAAAATATAAGAATTTTAATACATGATGAATTTATGAACAATTTATGCATGAACTCATCGTTGTCTTTAATACTAGATCCCTGCATTGTTACTGCATGATCCGCACGCGGAGCATGTATTAAAAATGGCACTGTACGCAGGAACTCTCAAAAACATCGTGCTGCTGCAGTAACAAAATGTAAGACTGTGCGCGCGCACTCTCTGAAACCATTCGGCTTCACAAGAAACCCCGAGGCTGCTCTGACCATGCTGCCAAATGAGACCATGCGGGCCGCACTCGCGCACATGTGAGCGACGATGAAAAACGGGTCTTGCGCGGGATGGAGTTGCGACCGTGCGCCGCAGCTTACACTGGCCGCTGGCGCGGCACGCTGCACTGGAAGGGAGGGCGCTCACGCGCGAGCTTGGGCGGGCAGATTACTCCAAATCCCTCATTAATCGTCCCCCGGGTCCGGGTTTTTAAGGCGCCTTTTTTTGTAACTGGGGGAGTCCGGTTTATTAGGGCGCTTTCTTTGGATTGGAGCTTAGGGGTCCGGTTTATGAAGGCGCCCCGTCGAAGAGGGGGGTCCGGAATATTAGGTCGCATTTGGAGGGGGGTCCGGTTTTTTTCGAGGGGGGGTCGATGCATTAAGGGATCTGGAGTCCGCGCCTGGAGGTGCGCAAACGGGCCATGGAGTCTGGGACGACGTCGCGGTCCCGAGAGAGGGGGGGCGAGGGGGAGGTGGGAGGAGGAGGATGAGGAGGAGGAGGAGGAGGAGGAGGAGGAGGAGGAGGAGGAGGAGGAGGAGGAGGAGGAGGAGGAGGAGGAGGAGGAGGAGGAGGAGGAGGAGGAGGAGGAGGAGGAGGAGGAGTCTGGGACGACGTCGCGGTCCCGAGAGAGGGGGGGCGAGGGGGAGGTGGGAGGAAGAGGGGGAGGTGGGAGGAGGAGGAGGAGGAGGAGGAGGAGGAGGAGGAGCCCCGTGCTCTTGCGCCGCTCGCGTTGAACCCGCCAAGCTCTGCCAACAGCACGCGCTGCAGTGCCCGGGCCACACGCGCGCTGCCCCTCCTCCTCCGCGCGCGCGCGCGTGGAGCTCCTTCGGTATTTCCATAGCTGTCAACGCATAGGTGCTACAGATAAGTCGGGCCTGTCCTCCTACAGGGGGTTTTTGGACGAAAGCAAAAGTAGCCAACAAATACCCCAACATGGTCAAACAATACGCCAAAATCGTCCCCAGACTAGTGTGTAACTATTTCTGAGCATTCCCCCTGTAGAGGGAGGGACAGGCCCGACTTAATGCTAAAAACACGACGGCCTAGACTTACGACTTGAATCGGAAATGTTGACGACATTGTGAATTCCTGCGCGCGCACCTCCTCCTCATCCTCATCAGCGCCATTGTTATCATCGCCAGCCTCATCATTGCCATCTTCAATCCCGACCATCAGCATCATGATCACCATCGCTGCCGTCAGCCATCACCACCACCGTCGTCATCGTCATCGTCGATGACGTCGCCCTCGTCATCATCGCCACCGCCTGTGTCGCCGTCACCATCATCACGGTCGTCGTCCCCTGTGTCGCCGTCACCATCGTCCCTCGCCTGCCCGAGCCACAGATCTGCACGAGCAGGGTCCGCGCATCACCGCCCCAACAGAGACTCGCGAGCAGGCTCCGTGGACAACTGCACTCACGGTCTGTCTGCAGTCTGCCAGCACGTTGCCGGGTGGGAGGGTGGGATGTTTGCACAAGCAGTGGAGTCGAGTGCCTCAACGCACTCCATAGCTTGCAGCGCACAGCTTGCACCCGACAGCCTGCACCACCTGGCTTGCCACACACACAGTCTGCACCACACGACTTTGCACCCCACACCCAGCCGACCCGTACAGGAAGGATGCGCGGCAAAGGTGCAAGGGCCTTGGACGCCCATGCCGAGGCTCCTTGAGCGGGGCTGGCCACCGAAAGTGGCTGAGGATGGACCGAAGAGGACCGAAGAGGCAGGGATGCAAGGGCACCGTGGGGAAGACGACCACCCTTACGATGCAGGCTGACTGCATGGTACCGCACAGCGCACACCGCGCGTGCCACGACCCACTGCTCGAGGTCGGAGACGGCGGACGCTCTCCAAGCCCCGCGCGGCCACAGCCGCGCTCCGGGGGCCATCCCTCGGGTCGGGCGAAAGGGGGGGATAGCAAAGGGGGGGGGTGAGAATCAGCTCACGTAGCTGATTTTCCCGGCGCCTCCCGGCGCTGGAGGCGCCCATGCATCGAGGAATGGGCCCCTCGGTGAGGCCGAAACCGGCTGCATGCAGCAGATTTCGTAACCCCCCCTTTCCCAACCCCCCCCCCTTCCGCCCGACCCGAGAATCCTGGGGCACCAGCGCCGGCGTCCCGAGGCAGCAGCGTGACGCGAGCACCGCGCGCCGGCCGTGCGGGCCCGCGCCCGACACAACAGGGGGCCCTATGGCGCCCACGCCACGCCGAGTGCCCATGGCGTCCGAGGAGAGAGGCAGACGCTTTTGTCCGCGCCCCGCGCGGCCACGGCCTGCACCACCTCTCTCCGCGCCGCGCGAGCTCCCGCCGGGGCGCCGCGGGGCGCGGCGAGGACCCCCCTGGCGTTACCCCCCCCTCGGCCTTCGAGCCATCGCTCGGCTCCCCGGCGGCCGTCCGGGACGATCCCTGGGCAGGGCCAAGGGGATTGGAGCCAAGGGGGGCGAGGGGAAGCTGGGGCCAGGGACAGGGGGGCCAGAGCCAAAGGGGGGAAGGGGACGACGACGAACCACGGACCACGGACCACGAAAATAAAGGGTCCAGAGCGAGGGAGGCTGGGCACCCCCCGGAGCTCGAGGCACAGGGAAGTGGCGCGGAGAGGAGCTGTGGGGCCGCACGGACGTCTCGGGACGGCGCTGGGACCCCCTCCCTGGCGCGCGGAGCGCGCCACGAGCGGCGCCGAAGGCGCCGCCAGGAGGGGGGGGGGCAGCGCCGATCCCAGAGATCCGCGCGGACCTCCGAAAGTTCGTGTTCATGCCGGTGCCTGTTCCCCGAGGAGCGCTCTCGCCGAGGCGCAGCCTGGCCATCGGTCGGACGTCTGTTTTTTTGGTGTTATGCGTGGTTTCTTCGCCAACTGATCCAGGAGGCTCCTCGATGGTCCTCGCCGAAGGAAACATGCCCACGTCCGAGCGATGCCAAGCAGCCGCCGGAGGGCCACTCCGGGGCCGCGAGGCCGCCGAGAGGGGCCCACGGCGGAGGCCCGAGGGCGCGCGAGGAGAGACCTCGAAGCGCGCGGGCCGCGAGCAACGCTCGGGGCGCGGCGCCGCCCCTGCCGTAACGCTCCACGCGCGGGCTGGGGCGAGGGGCTGCGAGGATGCAAGGGGGGTCTCCCTGGCGGTGCGGTGCCCCCCCCCTCCTCGCTCGAGACATCATCCCCAGGCCCCCTCGAGGAATGAAAAAATCACGACGGGAGGTTTTTCCTGATTTTCGGCCTCGGGGGCCCCTCGCCGGGCCTGGGGAAAGGGTCGGGACCTCTGGGGGTCGACGTAGTGAAAAAATCATTACGTCGGGGGTCTGGGTCCCCAGCCTCCATCTCGGGGAGGCATCGTGGACCTCCTCGCTGGAGGTGGCCCCCTGGTGCTGGTGCCGCTTCTCCCCCTCCCCACGGGCGTGGAGAGACCAAGAAGCACCGCGCGTGCCTACCGCTGCTCCTCGGACCTCTCCCGCGGGGTGCATTCTGACCAGGATTTCGAGGCGACTCCAGCCGCGGCGACGAGGGCCTCCCAGGAGGCCCAAACGGAGCGAGAAGGCGGCAAGGGTGGCGGCATCGGTACCTCTTCCCCCAGACATGTGACGTCCTGCTTTTGTTTCAGTACGCGGTCCGGGGAAGTCCCGACCCATTCCCTGGGACGAGCTTTTCATGGTGAGTCGTTCTTTGACGGTCCCGGGTCCCCGCGAGGGCCCCTGGATGCCGAAAACGATTCAAAAACGCTCGCCCTGATTGCTTGTCTTACGACGCGAGCGTGTCTGTGCCTCGTTGCCCCTTTACGACTCGAGCGTGTGTGCATCGCTTAGAAAAAAAAACGGCGTCAACAAAAACTTTTGGCGCTATGCGCGAACTTCTTGGATCTGCGCTGGACCCCATTTCCTGGCTTCCTGGCGCGCGGAGCGGGCCAAGGGAAGGTGCCGGAGGCTCCGCCAGGGGGGCCCAGCGCGGATCCGAGAAATCCGCGCGGGGCGTCGAAAGTTTATGTTTGTGGCGTTTTTCCTTCTCCGATTGTCTCACGACGCGAGCGTGTCTGTGCCTCGTTGCCCCATGAGGTTACCTTTTCCTCCCCTGAGGCCCGGGGGGCACAAAAGGTGGGGTTGGGGCGAAGGCGGGGTTGGAGTGAAAATCGCTCCGCACGGCCCCTGGAAGAAGGAAACGCGTTGACCGGGAGCTTCCAGCTGGGCCCGCTCCCCAGCCCCACCTTGGGATAACCCTTCCTCTACGACTCAGTCGGGCGTGCCCCCCTACAGGCGGATCTTGGAGGAAACATCAAAAATAGTCAAAACATACCCCACACTAATCAAAAAATAATCGAAACATCGCCCCAGACTATTTTTTACGATTTTCGACTGTACTTCTGTCGGGCGTGTCCCCCTACAGGAGGATTTTCAACGACAAATCAAAAATACCCCCAAAATACTCAAGAAAGGCAAACAAATTATTCACTGCGTGGAGCTCCCCATATGTGCATCTACTCGCGTGGACCTGTCCGCCGTGAATGTCTAGGCGCAAGAGCTTTCGAATACTAACGGGCTTCAGTTGTGACGGTCTGGACATCAATCTAACTGCGAATGAATTGGAGTGTGAATGACCCTCAGTAGTACGAGCGCGTCTCTGTGCATGAGCCTGGGGCCTCCTGGGGCCTCCTGAAACCTACTGGGGCTTCCTGGGGTCTCCAGGAGCCTCTTGGGACCTCCTGGGACCTCCTAGGAAGGTTTCGTGCCCCAGGGGAGGCGCAATCTATAGCAACAGACGTACATAAAACATTGCGGATTAGAGCCACAGGAGAAGGGCAATCTATAGGAACACGCGTAAAACACCAAGGACTCGTGCCCCAGGAGAGGCCCAATACATAGGAACATGAGTAAAACATTTAGGATTGTGTACACAGGAGAAGGACCATCTATAGAAACATACGTAGAACATCAAAGAATCGTGCTCCAGGTGAGGCCCAATCGATAGGAGCATACGTAAAACACATGGGATTGGAGCCACTCCTGTTGCCTTCTGAGGCCTCCTGCTCCTGGGGCCTCTCGGGGCCTCCTGTTGCCTTCCGAGGCCTCCTGGCGCTTCCTGTTGTCTCCTGGGGTCTCCTGTGGTTTCCTGAGGCCTTCTGGAGCTTCCTGGGGCCTCCTGGAGCCTCTTGGGACATCCTGTGGCCTCTTGAGTCTTTCTGTGGCCTCCTGATGCCTCCTGGGACCTCATGTGGTCTCCTGGAGCCTCCTGGAGCCTGTTGGAGCCTCCTGTGGCATCCTGAGAAGAATCTGCGCCCACGAGCCTGGCCACCAAAACTGGCAAACCGATCGAGACATCCTCAAACTCTGGCCCACCTGGGGGGTGAAAATGAGCGCCTCGCTCGAGACATCCTCCAAATCTGCTCCGAAAGCGAAGGATGTTGGGCACAGAAACAGGCAAACCGCCTGAGACATCCCCACAAAATGGCCGCGAACGAGCCCGTGCAACCACCCCTGGCGGCTCCCCTTAGGGGTGCTTAAATGAGCGCCTCGCTCGAGACATCCTCCAAATCTGCTCCGAAAGCGAAGGATGTTGGGCACAGAAACAGGCAAACCGCCTGAGACATCCCCACAACATGGCCGCGAACGAGCCCGTGCAACCACCCCTGGCGGCTCCCCTTAGGGGTGCTGAAATGAGCGCCTCGCTCGAGACATCCTCCAAATCTGCTCCGAAAGCGAAGGATGTTGGCACAGAAACAGGCAAACCGCCTGAGACATCCCCACAAAATGGCCGCGAACGAGCCCGTGCAACCACCCCTGGCGGCTCCCCTTAGGGGTGCTGAAATGAGCGCCTCGCTCGAGACATCCTCCAAATCTGCTCCGAAAGCGAAGGATGTTGGGCACAGAAACAGGCAAACCGCCTGAGACATCCCCACAAAAAATGGCCGCGAACGAGCCCGTGCAACCACCCCTGGCGGCTCCCCTTAGGGGTGCTGAGTACATCGGCCCAATGAAAGTTCCTTGAATTTTCATCACGACGCTGGCCTGCGGAAGTCGACGGAAGTAAAACGAGGCGGAAGACGGGGGAAGGCCGCTGGAAGGCTTGCCAATGTCAGCGGAATTCAACGACGCCCCTTCCGAACCCCCTACCCCCCGTAGAAGCCTAGCAATGTTGTCTTCCTCCGTGGGCCGGGCGGGATCCCGCCTGGCTTATTCCGCTTTAATATTATAAGTTTAGTTCAGGACGATCAAAATCCCACCCATTAAAAATGGGGTAGACCAAAATCCCGGGTCGTTCACGGATCCCACCATGCTGGGATCGGCTCGAAGTAAAATGGGGCTCATAAGTTGCAGTATTATTGCCGTGTTGGGGTCGTCTTGAGGTCATCTTGAGATCATATCCCGGTCATGTTTGGATCACGCAACCATCGCGTGGTCATTATGAGGCCACCCTGGGTGCGCTTGGACCCATCTTGTTGCCATCGGGCCATCTCGGCGTCACGCGTTGCTCATGTGTTGCGTCATCTGCGAGTCGGCCTGAGACGGTCCAGAATCCATGGCGGGATCGCGTTGGGGTGGCATCATCCTGGGTCCTCTGGACGTTATCGTCCGTGGCCTGAGGCATTCCTGGAAGCATGTTGTGGCCATGGGGCGTCTTGGGATCGCGTGCGTGCGAACGCTGAGCACGCGCGCGCGACTTTTCATCTTGCCGACGGGTTTACATACATATTATTCCTCTTGCGAGTTTCCAAGGAAACTTTTGTTGGAGCCATATGAGTAAGTCTGTGTATGAGTAAGTCTGTGTATGTGTACGTCTGGGTATGACTAATACTGTGTATGAGTAAGTCTGTGTATGAGTAAGTCTGTATATGAGTATGTTTGAGTGTGAGTAAGTCTGAGTATGAGTAGGTCTGAGTATGAGTAAGTCTGAGTATGAGTAAGTCTGTGTATGAGCAAGTCTGAGTATGTCCGACAGGAGGGGAGGAGAAAAGAGGAGGAGGAAGGAGGAGTAGGAGGCGTCCAAGTAATAACAAGAACCCCATCTTAGGATATGGGGAATAATCAAAAATTAGTCCCCAGACTGATTTTTAGACAATTTTTGGACTACTTTTGGGGTATCCTTTTTATTTTTCGTTGAAGATCCCCCTGTAGGGGGACAGGCCCGACTTGAGACTGTACCTCCCTGTATCGGGTCGGGCAAAAGGGGGGGATAGCAAAGGGGGGGTTTGAGAATCAGCTCACGTAGCTGATTTTCCCGGCGCCTCCCGGCGCCGGGAGGCGCCCATGTATCGAGGAATGGGCCCCTCGGTGGGGCCGAAACCGGATGCAGCAGATTTCGTAACCCCCCCTTTCCCAATCTCAGCGCCCCTCAAACGGGGACTTCACTAACGGGTACTTTGACCAGTGACCCAGCGAACCCAACCCTTCCCGATGCGGGCAACGCTGCAATGCCAGAAAAAGGCCCTAAAGTGGCAACTTTCGGCATAATTTCAAAGTGCCCGTTAGTAGGTACCCGTTACGGTGCCGTTGACAATCCCCCCCCCTTCCGCCCGGCCCGAACCTCCCTGCACTCGAGGGATAGGCCCGACGGACCTCTGCGAGCCCCCGCGGCGGGCGCCCGCGCTCAGAGCCGGCCGCCCACCTCTCGGGGAGGGACAGACCCCCCTTTCGCAGGGGGCAAACAGACCTACCTCGCTCTTGACCACCCCTCCTCCTCCTCCTCCTCCTCCTCCTCCTCCTCCTCCTCCTCCTCCTCCTCCTCCTCCTCCTCCTCGCCCCCCCTCTCTCGGGACCGCGACGTCGTCCCAGACTCCATGGCCCGTTTTCGCACCTCCAGGCGCGTACTCCAGATCCCTTCTGCTAGGGGGAAAACAAACCTACCTCGCTTCTGACCACCCTCGCTTCCAAGCGATACCAGGCGATGCCAAACCACGGCCTGTGCTGGCCAGGCCGCCTGACGAGGAGGCGCGTGGTATGACTTGGTTTTGCCTGGAAGCGAAAGCGGGGTAGGTAATTCACGCTCTGACTTCGTAAAACGTGGCTTAGTGAAGACGACCTGAGGCCCAAGCCCGGCGGGCGCCAGCCTGGAAGATCACTACGGCCACGGCGCCGCCTCGAGAACCGAACACGGACCACTCACTGATATCGACGTGCCGCTGTTGGGGGGTTCTGTCCACCCCCGAACCTCGCACCCCGCCACGCCCGCGTGGCCGGCGCAGTAGCCGGGCACGGACACCTGCCGGCGGCGGGCGCCAGGGGGAACGCGAGCTTCCCATGCTCTCGTACAGCTCGTGGGTCTTCGTCTTCCCCCCTCTCCACTTCCCAGACTTTCCCATCTCATCTTCCTGGGGGTCGACGATCCATGGTGTCTGTGTGTTTTTGCCCCTCCTAGTTCGTCCCCCCGCCTGCTCCTCCATCCATGTTTCGGCGGCGAGCCCGGGGGAAGTGAGAAGGGGCGGGCCTTCTCAGAAGGCTCGGAAGTCCCCAGCCTTCTGAGATGTTTTCTGAGCTTTCCCCGAAGACACGCAAACCACTTCTCAGAGGCGCGATGGCGTCAGAGAAGTCCCGCCGCCTTCTGAGAAGGTCTTCTCCTTCTCCCCTCCCCCCCTCGCTCGCCGGCGAACCTGCCGGGCCCGGGGTCGAACCGCGAGCTCCAAGCCCAGACGCTTGGTGTCTGTTCCATGGGAGCCTGCGTGGCCCCTGGCGCCGTGCGATTTGGGCCGGATGTGGGCCAGATTTGGAGCACGGTTGGGACCGGATTTGGACCGGACTCGCCCGCTCACCAGGGAGGCGAGAAGAAGAGCGGGGGGGAGGAGGAGCAGGCGGCAGGGCGAGGGGCAGGAGAGAGGGCCACATGCGGTCCAAGGCAGGAAGAGCCGATTGCAGTGCCGCCTCCCAAGGGGCCCCCAGGAACAGACGCCGGACAGACGTCGTGCGCGCGTCGGGCCCAAAAAAACACGACTGTAGCTTTGGCATGATTTTCGGCCTCCCAGGGCCCTCGCTGGGCCCCGGGACCGTGAAACAACGACTCAAGGTGAAAGAACGACTCACGAAGAGAAAACAACTCAGGACGCCATCTAGGAGGCCCCTAAACGAGACCAGACATGCTTGCGTCGTAAGACAAGCAATCAGTGCGAGCGTGTTTGAATTGTTTTCGGCCTCCAGGGGCCCTCGCGGGGACCCGGGACCGTCAAAGAACGACTCAGCATGAAAAGCTCGTCCCAGAGGAAGGGTCGGGACTTCCGGGGGCCGCGTACTGAAAAGTCAAGACGTCGCATGCCTGGGCTCGCGTCCGGCCAAAAATCACGCACGACAGGAGGTTTCTCCATCCCCACGGCACCGCCCCATGCCCAGACGCTATTTGGACGCCTCGGGGGCGCGCCAACACCAAAGATCGCTGAGGCACGCCACGTGAAACACACACGCACACACATAATGTGCCGGCCATTCCCGCGTCAAGGCCGTTGATTGCAATCAGCTTGGATAGCTGGGTGGCGACGGCAATGCGCACGAATCCGCCCTTCCAAAATCACGACGGGAAGTCCTGGGCCGCTTCTGGCCTCCAGGGCCCTCGCCCGAAAACCGGAGCTGGGGAAAGGATCGGAATTTCTGGGACCCTGCGATGGAAAAATCAGGACACTCCACGTCTGGGATCGGGCGGGAAACGGATCGGGCCGCCAGCGAGCCGTCCTGAGTCGAATCGAAATCGGATCGCCGTGCCTGGCTTGATAAGCTTAACCGAGTGTCCCTGATCCTTTGGGAGGGGGCGCGCGGAGCGCGCCAGGGGCGGCGTCGGGGGAGGCTTCAGCGCCGATCGCAGAACTCCGCGCGGACCTCCGAATGATTTCCCGACCATCCTGTGGTGTTGGGTCCTCGTTCTGACGAGGCAGCGCCCCGCGTCCCTCCTCCCCCTCCTCCCTCCTCTGCCTCTGCTTTCCGCATGTCAGCCAATTCGGCACACCCCTCACACGTGCCGTAGCCCCACAGGGAGCTCCACCGAAGGCCCCAGTGGTGGCATAATCCGCATGGCGTACCCGCACCCGATTCGACACACCCCTCACACGTTTCGTGGCCCCGTAACCGACCAGGCAGCTCCACCGAAGGCCCCGCCGTCACAATCGGCATGGCGCACCCGCACCCGATTCGGCACACCCCTCACACGATTCGTGGCCCCACCGGGAGCTCCGCCGAAGGCCCAAGTGGCACGGTCCACATGGCGTACCCGCACCCGATTCGGCAAACCCCTCACACGCTACGTGGCCCCGAAGGGAGCTCCACCGAAGGCCCAAGTGGCACGGTCCACATGGCGTACCCGCACCCGATGCGACAAACCCCTCACACGCTACGTGGCCCCGAAGGAAGCTGAACCGAAGGCCCCGGCAGCACAGTCCGCATGGCGCACCCACACCCAATACGGCATACACACCCCACACACGCCGCGCGGCCCCGTAGGCAGCTTCGCCGAAGGCCCCAGCGGCACAGCCCACATGGCGCACCCGCACCCGAGGCGGCACACCCTCCGGTGTTTCGTGGCCCCAAGAAATGCTCCAGCGAACGCTCCGGCGACACAATCCGCATAGCGCACTCGCACCCGACTCGGCAACCCCGTCACACGATTCGGCCCCACAGGAGGCTCCACCGAAAGCCCAGATGGCACAGTCCGCATGGCGCACCCGCGCCCGAGGCGGCAAACCCCTTACACGTTCCGTAGCTCCACATGGAGCTCCACCGAAGGTCCCAGTGGCACAGTCCGCATGGCGCACCCGCACCCGATGCGGCAAACCCCTCGCACGCGCCGTGGCTCCACAGGGAGCTCCACGGAAGGCCCCAGGTGGCACAGTCCGCATGGCGCACCCGCACCCGAGGCGGCAAACCCCTCACACGTTCCGTAGCCCCACAGGGAGCTCCACCGAAGGTCCCAAGCGGCACAGTCCGCCTGGCGCACTCGCACCCGATTCGACGCACCCCTCACACGTTCCGTAGCCCCACAGAGAGCTCCACCGAAGGCCCCAGGTGGCACTGTCCGCATGGCGCACCCGCACCCGAGGCGGCAAACCCCTCGCACGCGTGGTGGCTCCACAGGGAGCTCCACCGAAGGCCCCGGGTGGCACAGCCCGCGTGGCGCAGCAACGCCCGAGATGCGCCACACGCTCCACGCACGCCCAGGGGCCCCAAAGAGTGCTCCACCGACGGGGCCCCAGCGGCAGTCCACGGAGCGCGCCAGGGGCGGCGTCGGGGGAGGCTTCAGCGCCGATCGCAGAACTCAGCGCGGACCTCCGAATGATTTCCCGACCATCCTGTGGTGTTGGGTCCTCGTTCTGACGAGGCAGCGCCCCGCGTCCCTCCTCCCCCTCCTCCCTCCTTTGCCTCTGCTTTCCGCATGTCAACCAATTCGGCACACCCCTCACACGTGCCGTAGCCCCACAGGGAGCTCCACCGAAGGCCCCAGTGGCATAATCCGCATGGCGTACCCGCACCCGATTCGACACACCCCTCACACGTTTCGTGGCCCCGTAACCGACCAGGCAGCTCCACCGAAGGCCCCGTCGTCACAATCGGCATGGCGCACCTCCTCCCCCTCCTCCCTCCCTTGCCTCTGCTTTCCGCATGCCAGCCAATTCGGCACACCCCTCGCACGCGTCGTGGCCCCGTGGGGGGGGCTTCACACCCCACGCCCCAGTGGCAAGTGCCCGCAGGGCAGCCCCGCCCCACTTCGGCAAGGCCCGCCCCCTTCGCCACGCGCCGTGGCCCCGCGAGGAGATCCACCGCGGGCGGCACACACAACGACGGTCTGCACAACTGCATACGTCTGGGTCCTCTTCGGGGAGTTTGGCCCGGGTCAATCCAGACCCGGGTCAGCCAGGCCTTGCAGAGTCCTGCAAGACCCTGCACCCAAGCCGGGGTCAAGGCGACCCTGGCCCTGCAGGATCCTGCCAGATCGGGCGCTCTGGCGGACCCCCGTTCGCATCTGACCCCCGTCTCACGGCTCCCGACCTTCGCCAAGATGACTTGCATATGCCCGTGTTCCAACTTCGACATCCGCGCGCCGCCCCCTTCTGCGCGCCGCCGAGCCTTCGCGTTGCAGGCGAGGCACTTCGCGTGGGTCTCGCCGCTCTCGAGGCAGACCTCCTTCCGGGTCGGACCACGAGGGGAACTGCAGAAATCGAATCGGCTCTCGCTCGCTTTCCCGTCGCCTCCCGGCGCCGGAAGCAGCCATGTTAAGGGGCCACATGTGAACCCTGCCCCTACCCCCCACGATTTCTGAGGGGGAGGGTGGGGGAGGGTTCGCATGTGGCCCCCTACATGTACTGAGGGAAGCGCGTGGCGGCGGGGCAGAAACCAGCCGCACGTAGCCGTTGTCGTACAGGCCTCGTGCTGCGGGACGCTGACTCTAAGGAACGGAGGGGCCTTTCAATCCACGGCGAGCCTCAGCCACGAAGAAGGCTCCCGCCCCAGATCTGAGGAACGGCCTGGAGAAGGAGGGGGAGGAGGAGGAGGAGGAGGAGGAGGAGGAGGAGGAGGAGGAGGAGAAGGAGGAGGAGGAGGAGAAGGAGGAGGAGGAGGAGGAGATAGGAGGAGGAGGAGGAGGAGGAGGAGAAGGAGGAGAAGGAAGTACCAGAGCCCCTCCTGAGCCCAAGGTGTTCTTTATCTCAGCGTCTTGCCTGTAGCCATGTGGGCCATGTCGCCCCCCCGTCCTCCCCCTCCTTCCACCCACCTCGGGAAGCCAAAGGGTACCGATAATGGTGCTCCCTGGACCTCTCCCAGTTTCCAGGCTGTGTTTTCGATGGCGGGTGCATTCTGACGAGAACTTCGAGGCGAATCCAGCCGTGGCGACGAGGGCCTCCCAGGAGGCCCAAAAAGGTGAAAACGAGGCATGGGTGCCCGTCGGTCGCAAGAAGTGGGTAGAAACATGATGTATGAAGTGGGAAGGCATTGGAAGTGTATTGGGCTTCCGCCCGCCCCCTGAAGAGGAGGGAAGAGGGACAGAAAACCCGCTCGACTCTGGTAAAGTAGGAAGGCGGCTACAGTAGATTGGGGCCTAGGGGTCCAAAAAGTACAGTCGGGGCGTTGACCTAAGGAACCCTAAATAAGGAACGAGGCCCCATTGTTCCATGAGTTAAGCTTCGATTTCCCGTCGAAAACATAAGGAAAGCCTGAGGCAAGCTGTGCAACACTTCATGAACGCGCAGCCCCTCCCCAACGAAAAGGGTTCCTTCTTTAGGGCCCCGACTGTAAGGATGCAAGGGGAGGCGGAGGAGGAAGAGGACGCGGAGGAAGAGGAGGAGAGAGCGGACGCGGTGGCGGAGGCGGAGGCGAAGGAGGAGGAGGAGGAGGAGGCGGAGGAGGAGGAGGAGGAGGAGGAGGAGGAGGAGGAGGAGGAGGAGGAGGAGGGGGAGAAGGAGGAGGAGGAGGCGGAGGAGGAGGAGGACCCTTCCTCCTCCGAGCCCCGCCCCATTCGGCCCACCCGATCCTTGCAGTCGCCCCAGGACTCCTGCTTCTCGGCCTCCTTGGCGGCGACGTACGCCGGGCTGGCCTGCAGCAGCTCCACGGCCCGCTCCAGCGCCGACGCCTCCGTGGCCCGGTACTGCTCGCGGGTGTCGAAGTTCGTGATGATGAAATCGCAGCCTCAGAGGAGCAGGTAACGCCGTGAACACAGACAAAGAGAAACAAAATAGACATTGAAGGGGCCCCAGGACACACAAATAAATACACACAAATAACAATAGTCCATATTTTCCTATATTTTCGGGGTCTCTGTCTTCCCCCCCACTTCCCATATTTTCCCATATTTTCAAGGGAATCGAGGATTTTGTGTCTGTGTGTTTCTTTTCCTCCTGAGTAACGCCGTGAGCACAGAAGAAGAAAAAACAACATCAACTGAAACTTTGGGCGCTCCGCGCGGATTTCCTGGATCTGCGCTGCCCCCCCCCCGCCGGCGGCGCCCTCGGCGCCGCCGCCTGGCGCCAGACGCCGCCGCCTGAAGGGGGGGCCCCCGCGCGGATCCAAGAGATCCGCGAGGAGCGCCAAACGTTTCTTCCCATGGCGTTCTCCTCTACCTCGAATCAACAGAAGCTTCGGAGCCCCGCGCGGATTCGTGGCTCGGCGCTGGAGAAGCATATTCGGCGGTGGAAAAACCTCCCTTTAGTAAACCTCCCTTTAGTGAAAACGGCAAGGAAATCCGCGAGGAGCGCCACAGGTTTCTGTCCATGGCGTTTTCCTCTATACCTCGAACAGACAGGAGCTTCGGAGCCCCGCGCGGACTTCGCGTGGATCGGCGCTCTGGAGAGAGCCCCATGGCGGTGCCTGGCGGCGCCGCCATATGGCGCGCAGAAGGAGGCGGCAACAGCGGCGCAGGCATCAACTTTTTGGGGAGATCCGCGGGGAAAAAAAACACACACGTGGGAAACAACACACATGTGGGACAAACAGCACACATGTTTTTTCCCACAGACGTGTGTGTTTGTTCCCACATGTGTGTTTTTGTATGTTTCTTCCCCCAGGTGTGTGTTTTTCCCACGGACTTCTTGGATCGGCAGTGGAGCCCCCCGACGGCACCCTCGGCGCCAGGGGGGGCTCCAGCGCCGACAGGAGACATACGCGCGGACCTCCGAGTCTATGTGTATGCAATTGTTCAGTTTTCCAGGCCTGGTTTGATCTGCTCGAGGTACGCGATGATGGCGTCCTTGTCCTTGATGGTCTGGGCGAGCTCCGACCTCTTGTTGACCAGCGTCTTCTCGGCCTCCGCGAGCTCCTCCTGGAGCCCCGCGAGGGCGTCCTGGAGGTCCGCCTCGGTCTGCTTGAGCTGGGTCATGTCGCCCTCGTAGTCGGACTGCGCCTTCTGCTCTGTCTGGTGGGCGCTGGACTCCTCCTTCTCCACCTCCCCGAGCAGAAACTTGAGCATGGTGACGACCTCTGGGGAAACAGAAGGACACCCATATCGCAACGCCACGGACCTCTCCCAGGGTGAATTCTGATCAGCACGTCGAGGAGAATCCCGCCGTAGAGGCGAGGGCTGTCCAGGACGAGCAGCGGTGTCGGCATCTTTTCCCAAGACGAAGCCAGGACGAGGACAACATCGGGTAAGGATAAATCGAGAATCTCTGAGATCCGACGGCTCTGGAGGATGTCTCGGGCGCCGCGGCCTTCTCAGAGCGTTCTGGAACGCTATGAGAAAGTTCTGGAACGCTCTGGAACGGTCCTCGTCCCAGCCCCGTCCGATTTCCTCCTCGGAACCTCGGTGCCCTTCTCCTGGGTGCCGATTTTGCCATCCTCCCACGTCTCCGGGGGCGCCGGGTCCTCCTGCAGCGCCGCGGTCGCCTCGCGGGGGCGGCCAAGAGGGGAGCGTCAAAGAGAGGGGCTCGCAGAGCACGGCCCTGGGCATGAGCGCGGCTCTGTCGGGGACCACGTGACGCCATGGCAAGGAGGAGAGGGGGCCACGAGGTCTGGGTAGATGCCACGCCCCCCGCCATGATATCCCCCCCATCGGTAGGTTCGAAGCGGCGTCGGCGCGCGCAAAGGTTTTTGACACCGCGTCGATCGTTCCATTTGAACTGATCGCGGCCCCGACCGTTCCAGGGAGGAGGAGGAGGAGGAGAAGGAGAAGAAGGAGGAGGCCGAGGAGGAGAAGGAGGAGGAGGAGGAGGCGGAGGATCCGCGAGCCACAGGAGAAGCGGCGCCGCCACTCCCGATCGAGGCGCTTCGGCCGCCTCGCACGGGGGGCCTGGTACACCACCTGAGGTGCCAGGACCCCCCGACCGCGAACTCGATGCAGTCGAGCTCACACGTGGACGGACTTATCAATGCCGTCCATGTCCGCGGGAGGGGGAAGGGGCGAGGGCCCTGCACGCGAAGCGGCGAGGCCGCCTACCACCCCCCCCCGCTGCTCCTCCCGCGGCCGGCCGCCCCGGGCCTTGGACCATCACCACGTGGACCACCACGCGCTCGACGGCCACCAGCCGCTCCGGAGCCCCCGCCACGCGCGCCGTCGGACGAGGCCGCCAACTCCTCGAGCTCGACGGCCATTGCGACCAGCACGCCGTGGTCGAAGGGGGCCGTCTCGGGAGCGGGAGGCAGCCCAGCGCGCTCCCGCAGGCGGACGACGAGGTTCCTCAGCTGCCACACCTCGAGGTGGCCAAGCTTGCCCTTGCCGCCGCTCTCGCCGCCCTTGCCCGCGTTCTTGCCCTTGCCCTCGCGCTGGTCTGTGCTGGCAGGCGGGCCACGAGCCTGCATCACCACGGGCAGCTCGTCGGCCCAAGCGTCGTCCTCCAGCATCGGCTGAGGCGGGGCGCCAGCCCCCGTGGCCACCTCGCCCGCCGACCCCTTGTCGATGTCCATGCCGTCAGCGACGATGTAGTGCTTGCCGTTCTCGTCCCCGCCCTTCGAGCCGCCGCGGCCGCGGGGCCGCCGCCTCCTGCGCGAGGAAGCCGCTGGATCCGCCAGGGGCGCCGCGACGAGCGCGGGGGAGGAGGGCGTGGCGAGCACAGCCACCGCCGTGCGCAGCAGGCCTTCGGCGGCGCGGATGAGGCGTACCGCCTCCCGCTGGCCGCTCGCAAGCCCAGCCGCCGCGTGCGTCGCCAGCACTGCGCCGCGCGCAGCGTCCAGCGTCGCCTTCGCGGAGCGGGCGTCGGTCGTCGGCGGCATCGGCGAGGCGGCGGGTCGGCGGGGCGACCCAGCGGCGGCGGCGCGTGAGCCAAAATGCCAACTGGAGGAGGCGGAGGAGGAGGAGAAGGAGGAGGAGGAGGGGGAGGAGGAGGAGGAGGGGGAGGAGGAGAAAGAGGAGGAGGAGGAGGAGGAGGAGGAGGAGGTCGGGTCCTGCGGTCTTGCCATGCCCCTGCGTGCTTCCGCGTCGTTCTGCCATGCAGAATGCAGCCTTGAACGCCTCATCGGCGGCGTCTCCGGCGCGCCCTCGCCGCCCAAACCTACGGGAGTCATCACCCCCTCTCAGAGGCGACGATAGTCGGGTCGGGCGAAAGGGGGGGATAGCAAAGGGGGGGGTGGAGAATCAGCTCACGTAGCTGATTTTCCCGGGGCCTCCCGGCGCCGGATGGAGCTATGTATCGAGGAATAGGCCCCTCGGTGGGGCCGAAACCAGCTGCATACAGCAGATTTCGTAACCCCCCCTTTCCCAATCCCCCCCTTTCGCCCGGCCCGAGTCTCGGGCGCGCCCTCGCCGCCCAAACCTGCCGGAGTCATCACCCCCTCTCAGAGACGACGATAGGGGCGAATACCCTGACCTTCCAGAGAGCTATTTCTTAGCACTGGAGGCCTAACCCCCCCCCCCAAAAAAATGAAACAGCCTAAAACCAAGACGTAGAATAGCTCTGGGATAGGTTTTTAGGTCGGGTGTTATTTTTTAGCCCTCCTGGAAGGTCAGGGTAGCCCAGGGGAGAGCAATACATGTATCCAGGTGCGCCGATGATCTATGTATTCGAAAAGGCTTCTGGGTGAACACGTGTGATGCCGATCGCGGTCCCGACCGTTCCAGGTTGTGATGGGCCTGTTTTCCACAGGACCCCCTCCCCCTCCTACTTCTGGTGGTGGTGGTGGAAAACAAGCCCACCAAGTGGAACTCCGTCGGGTCCTGTCGTCTTGCCGTGCCCCTCCGTGTTGCCGCGTCGCTCTACCATGCAGAAGTCAACCTGGAACGCCTCTTCGGCGGCGTCTCCGGCGCGCCCTCGCCGCCCAGACCTGCCGGAGTCATCACCCCCCTCGTGGAGGCCCCGAGCCTTCTTTTTTTTATTATTTTTTGGTTTGGCGTCGCTGCAACCTTAGCCAAGCAATCATCACGCTCCTGGATAATAGCGTCTCTGTCGCCACTGACCGCCCATGTCGCCACTGACCGCCCCCGAGCCTCCTTGTAGGCCGCGGCGTAGTAGCTCTCGATCATGGCGATGGCCTTGGCGAGGAGCGCCCGCGCCTCCGAGGTGTTGGCGACCAGCCCCTGGTAGTCCAGGTTCTCAGTCCTCTGGGGGGGCGTCCAGGGAGGGGGCGTCCAGGAGGCAGGAACAACGAAGAGGAGGAGAAGGAGGAGGAGGAGGAGGGAGGAGGAGGGAGGAGGAGGAGGAGGAGGGAGGAGGAGGGATCGAATCGGGAATCGGATCGGGTTGCATCGGCACGGAAGCAAACTCGAATCGGATCGGTTGCGCCAGGATGCACAGCCGAGCCACACAAACATCGGGTCGCACCGGCACGTCAGAATATCGGCATCGAATCGGGTCGGCCCCGGCCGAAATCGACATCGGATCGGATGGATCGGATCGAGATGGACCTTGAGAGGGGGGGGTCGCAAATCATGGCCCGAGGCCCATGCGCGGCCCATGCGGGCCAAGGGACGCAATGAAAAAAGAAGACGGGCCGTGAGACCTGGGGCGATATCATGGCCCCCGTATCCCCTCCTGGTCATCACCCCCCTCTTGGCAGCCCCCGAGTCCTCCTCTGGTCGGTGGCCTCCTTCATCGCCTCGGTGTTCTCCACGAGCTCCTCCTCCTTGATGGCGATCGAGGCCTTGAGACCAGTCTCGGGGTTCTCGATCCTCTCCACGAGCTCGCTGATGTCACCGTTCAGGGTCTCGATGTCCTTCTTCTTCAGGTCCAAGTTCCTCTCGTTCGTCTCCCGCTCCCCCTCGCACCACGCCTTCTGCTCGGCGTCAACCCTGCCCTCCTCCTGGATCAACGCCTGGATCTTCTCGATCTCCTAAACGGCATAAACATAAACTTTGGGCGCTCCGCGCGGATCTCTTGGATCTGGGCTGGACCTCCCTCCCTGGCGCGCGGAGCGCGCTAGGAGCGGCGCCGGAGGCGCCTCTGGGGGGGCCCTGCGCGGATCCAAGACATCCGCGCGAAGCGACAAAAGTCAATGTTTATGGCGTTTGATCCTCTTCTTCGGTGGCAACTCATGGGAGCCTCCCCCACCATCTTGTCGGCTCGTGTGAATCGACGCTAGTCGACGCTCAATCGACGCTAGACGCTAAATCGACGCTGATCGACGCTAGCCGACGCTAAATCGGCGCTATCTCACCGACTCCCAGACGCTAATCGACGCTGGTCGACGCGAAAGACAAAGCTACGAGGGTACACGAGGCTCCCATGATTTGCGACCGAACTCTTCGATTGACGAACCAACAACACACATCCATAACCATAGGGGGGTCGGAGAGGGCTATGGGTGCGTGTTGTCGGATGGGGGTCCCCGTTCGAACGGGAGCGTTCCCCAGGGTCCGACAACCCGCACCCATACCCATAGCCAGTCCTCCTCCCAACGACCCCCCTATGGGTATGGGTGTGTGCTGTTCGTTCGTCGTCGATCTCCGCCAGCACGGTGTCGAAAGGGTTCCCGGCGGAGAGCGAGGCGACGACGCGCCGGAGCCTCGCCGACCGCGCGCGGGCCGCGGCCTGCGCCAGGAGGCCCTCCACCCGCTGGCGGACGGCGGAGGTGCTGCTCCTCCCCAGCTGCAGCAGCCTCGGCGGCGCCCCCTTGCTGGGCGGGGCCCCGCCGCCGAGGGACGCCGTCGCGGAGGCGATCTTGTAGGCGGCGTCGCTGTTGAGCAGGGCGATGGCCTCGGAGATGGCCGCCTGCTCGTTGGCGCGGAAGAGCTTCCGGGCCTCGTAGTCCGTGGCCTTGTCCGAGCACATGGGGCCCAGCTTGGACAGGAAGTCCTCCGCGTCTGCCTTCGACTGCACCTCCACTTCCAGCTGGGTCTTCTTGGCGGCGAGGCTGCCGTCGTTGGTGCCCATGGTGTCCTGGACGTCGTCGTCGGCAATCTCGAGCTTGGCGTACTCCTCCTCCTTTGTCTGGATGAACGCCAGATGGGCCTTCACCGCCGCCTGCTCCGCCGCGGTCGCCTCCGCCAGGTTCTCCTCAAACGTCTCCTTCATTTCGCGGAGAATGCCCACGATCTCGCCTGACTGCGTCTCGTAGGTGGTGCCCAGTGGTGCCTGGAGCAGCGCGCTCAGACGCCGCTGCTGCTTCTGGTCGCCTGGCTTCAGCAGCGCCTTGGCGGCCAGCAGCGCCGTGCGCACCTTCGACTCGAGGCTTACGAGGGCCTCGGACTCGTTGAAGCCGCCCATGAACTGCTCGTGCGCCGCCGACGTCTCCAGAGTCTGGTCCGCGCCGATCTCCCCCAGAACCTGGATAGCCTGCGCCAGTAGCGGGATGTTGGCCGTCAGATCGTCCTTGAGCTTGAGGTAGGCCGCCTCCTCTTTGCCACGAAGCTCAGTGGCGACCTCGCGCGTCTGCTCGTTCGCCTCCATCTCCTTCTTCAGCCTGGCAGCCTCGATGCTCAGCTCTCCGTTGGCGCCCTGCAGCTCCGAGATGGCGGCCGAGAGGAGCTCGATAGCCTTGGTGGCCTCCTCGATGATTTTCTCCTTCTCCTCGGTCTGCGTGTCGCAGTAGCACTTGAACTTGGCGTATGCCTCGCGGTCCTTGTCCTGCTCCGCCTGCGACTTCTTGAGCATCTCCTCCAGAAGCCTGACGACCTGTCGGCGACTCCGAAGAATGTGGTTTGCAAATTTGGACGCCCGAAATGGGTACGGGAAAGATGGGTACAATGCCCAACAACAAGTGTTGTCCCAAACCAACAGCGGCCGCTGTTGGGAAGGCGGCCTTCTGTCTCGAATGGACAAAGGCCGCGGCGGCGCGGACAGCGAGTCCTGTTCAAAATGAACAGGATCCGCTGTTGGGCATTGTACCCATTCTTTCCGTGCCCATTTCGTTCGTGCAGAGCAGACGGTGTGGCTTGCAACGGGCACCCTGGGGGCACCCCAGGGGCACTTTGGGGGCACCCTTAGGGGAACAGAAAGTGACATAAGCATAAAAACTCGGAGGTCCGCGCGGATTCCTCGGATCGGCGCTGGACCCCCCTCCCTGGCGCGCGGAGCGCACCAGGGGCGGCGCCGGAGGCGCCGCCAGGGGGGGTCCAGCGCCGATTCGAGAACCCCGCGCGGACCTCCGAGTTTTTATGTTTATGCCAGTTCTTGTTCCCCTAACCCTAATTCACCCTCCCTCCGGGACTTCGCCCCCGGCTCCTGTCCATGGCGCACCTTTTCCTGTGCAAGATCTTCGGCACCGCCTGCACTCCGCACCCTCCAGCCGCCTGAGGCCCCGCCCGCCCGCGCCCTGTCTCCCCAATTAGTGCTTCGCGCGCCCCGCCTAGCTCTTAACCGGAAAGGGCCCGCTCCCGACCCGCCGACCAAAAATTTTGGGGACCCCCAAACCGGGTGGTGAGATACCAGGTGGCGACCTGGAATCCCCAAAAAGGTCACCGCTGGGTTTGGGGACGCGGGGTCACCACCGGGTTTTGTGACTCCTGGCCCCACCAGTGTCCGGGACATCCTCGGAAAACCGCACGAGTCCCCAAACCGGGTGGTGACACCAAATCGCCCGAGACTCACCACCGGGTGTTCTCACCACCACGTTTGGGGACCACCAACCAACCCTGGGGGCACCCGGAGGGGCACCCTGTGGGGGTCGGGCGGGAGGTCTGCGCCGCGCTCCGCGGCCCGGACGGGGAAGGCGCCGTGCCCTCCGGACCCCACTGGCGTCGCTCGCGGGCCGCGCGCCCCGGCGCCACCGCACCAGCGAGAACCGCAGGACCCGTTTCTCTGAGGACCCGCTTCCTCCATGGTGGAACATCCTTCATTGCGAAACATCCCCCCATCCGAGGCCCGACGGGGACGGCGCCGTGCCCTCCGGGCCCCCACGGCGTCGCTCGCGGGCCGCGCCCCCCGGCGCCACCGCACCAGCGAGAACCGCAGGACCCGTTTCTCTAAGGACCCGCTTCCTCCATGGTGGAACATCCTTTTTGGACGCCCGAAACGGTGCGGAAAAAATGGGCACAATGCCCAACAACAAGTGTTGTCCCAAACCAACAGCGGCCGCTGTTGGACAGCGGGCCTTCTGTCTCGAATGGACACAGGCCGCGGCGACACCGACAGCGAGTCCTGTTCAAAATGAACAGGATCCGCTGTTGGGCATTGTGCCGATTCTTTCCGTGCCCATTTCGTGCGTGCAGATCCTTCATGGCGAAACATCCCCCCCTCCGCCGGCATCCCGCCCCTCGCTCCGATGCCGACCGACCCCCCGCTCGGGCCGGCGCCCGTGGATCCCCTGCAAAAGGCCGAACCTGCGTGAGGGGCTTCTCGTCCTCCAGCGAGTGCCTGCCGGAACGCCCGCCTTGAGCAGGGACCGACCGTCCCGGCATTCCTATAGGCCTAAGAACCCAACAGTGTTCTTATAACACAAGCCATGTTCTTAAAGCATAGACCCCATGAGTGAAAAACAGGACAGACCCAGCCAGAAATGCTCAAAGAACATCCCGTGCAGACCACAACTGGCTCTTAGAACATTCGTTGGTGGGCCTATCCCAAACCCCCGACGTAATGACCCTTTCCCCAGGACCGGCGTTGCATCCCGAGTCGTATTTTGACGCTCCCGAGGCCCTGTGAGGGCCCCCGGAGGCCGAAAATTCAGAAAAGCCTCCCGTCATGATTTTTGTCATTGCTCGAGGGGGTCTGGGTTCTTTGGTGGGCCTACTACCCTGACCTTCCAGTAGGGCTAAAAAATAGCACCCGACCCAAAAACCTATCCCAGAGCTATTCTACGTCTTGGTTTCATAGGCTGCTTCGTCTAGCTTTTTAGGTTCTTCGGCCTCCGGTGCTAACAAATGGCTCTCTGGAAGGTCAGGGATAGGAGCCTGTTTTGTTTTAGACTCTGGCAAGTTTACTTGCATGGACGGGGGGGGGGCTGGGCCTGAAGCAAGCCAGGGAGGGGGGGCGCGGAAATCACGCAAATCGAAAGGCACTTGCACGCTAGTGTTCGCTTGAAGAGGGGCGAGGGGGGGGGGGGGGGCGAACGACATGCAAGTAAACTTGCCTGAATCCAAAAATCGGGGATGGACAGACCCCCTTTAGTAAAACGTGGTTTAGTGAAAACGACCTGAGGCCCAAACCTGGCGGGCGCAAGCCTGGAAAATAACGGCCACGGCGCCCTCTCGAGAACCGAAAACGGACAATTCACTAATCGACGTGTCACTGTTGGGGGTTCTGTCCATCCCCGAAGGCTCTAGGCGTGCCGAAACGCTTCGCCACTGCTTCACCGCCCGCTCCGGCCCCGGCGGCGCCCGCGGACGCCCCGTGCCCGGCCTGGCCGCGGAGCAGCTGGGCGCCCAGCGCGCCATGGGCGAGAGCCGCCAGGCAGAGGGCGGCCGCCTTCATTGCTGCCCCAGTGGATCCCCAGACCCCCTCGAGTAATGAGAGGATCTCGTCCTCCTCCTCCTCCTCCCTCCTCCTCCTCCTCTCCTCCTCCTCCTCCTCCTCCTCCTCCTCCTCCTCCTCCTCCTCCTCCTCCTCTTTCCTCCTCCTTCCTCCTCCCCTCCTCCTCCTCCTCCTCCTCCTCGAATAATGAAAGAATCATTCCGGAAGTTTGAAGCTCGGGGGGGCCCTCACCGGCCTCGGGAGCGTCAAACAAACGGCTCGAGATGCAAAGCCGGTCCTGGGGAAAGGGTCGGGACCTCTTGGGGCCGACGTAATTGAAGGGGCCCAAAGACACACACACACACACACACACACACACACACACACACACACACACACACACACACACACATTAAAACACTCGCAAAGAACAGGATTCCCAGTAACAGCCATATGTTTTGGATTTTCGTCTTCCTCCCCACTTCCCATATTTTCCCATGTGCCCGAGGGAATCGACAATTCATTGTGTCTGTGATTTTTCCCTCCTGGGCAATGGAAGAAATCATCACCTCGGGGGTCTGGGGGCCGCGCAGCTGCGGGGTGTCGGTCCGCGTGCGCTCCCTTGGGCCACGGAGGCGGGCCCGCGAGCGCCGCAGTGGCCGCGCCTCCCTAAGGGAGGGGGGGGGAGGCGCGCAGAAGCCGAGTTTGACCTTGTCCTCCTCCTCCTCCGCCTCCTCCTCCTCCTCCTCCTCCTGCTTCTCCTCCCTCTCCCCCCCCCCCCTCCTCCTCCTCCTCCTCCCCTCCTCCTCCTCCTCCTCCTCCTCCTCCTCCTCCTCCTCCTCCTCCTTCTCTTCCTCCTCCTCCTCCACCTCCTGCCCCCCCCCTTGAACGACGGCCTTCTGCGGGATCCCTGGAGACTCATTCGATGTAGCGGCGCTGTATTTCTGCGCCAACGTGCCGCAAGCACACTATGATGGATCGTCATCAAATCCCCAATCGTCCTCTGCATTGCTGTGTGGAGCCAGCAATACTGAGCATTGTGCATGTCAAGACCCCGCGACCCCGCATTTCCAGGGTCCCCGCGCGCTCCTGGGCGCTGGTGTGTTTCGTCACGTGACCTCTGCCTAGGTCCCCGAAGCGTGACGGCCCCCGGAACGTGATTAAGAATCCCAAGTTCCAGCATGCCAGAATGTCCCGTGACAGTCCCAGGGGGGGGGGGCATCCTGGAGTCGTTTTGGGGGTCGCTTGGGCTGTCTTGGAGGCTCCTGGGGAGGGGAGCACCCAACAGACCAACCTGACGAATACTCTAGTAATCATGCGGCTTTATCCTGAGAGCGTCCAAGGTGGCCCAAGAGGAGCCCGATGCTGCACCATGACAGCTCCCGAAGCAAGACGCGTGTCTTCCGAACTTGTGTCAGTATGGTACAAGAGGTGGTTGAGCAAGGTCGTGTAGCTATTTCTGTGGGTATCGCCATTACGGCAGCGAGGAGTATCGTGCGGCGGTGAGTCGGATCACGCGCTAAGCCTGTGGATGTCATGGCAATGGACACTCTGACCGATCTATCGTTGGATAATGTCGTTCCAAGGTCTTCGGCATGCTTGAAACATGCTCGACACATGTCTAAATTATGTTCTGGCACTTTGGAACCCTAGTTCACACCTGATTATATTCGGCGGTGGACAAACCTTCCTTGAGTAGACCTCCCCTTAGTGAAAAAGACCTGGGACCGAACCCGACGGACCTGGACCAACAACAATGACGGCCGCGACGTCCTCTCGCGAACCGAAAACGGCCAATGCCTTAATTGATGTGTCAAGGTACGAGGTCCCGGATGGCGGTGCCTGCCGCCGCCGCCGGAGTCTGCGCGGCAAGCCAATGTCGCACCTCGCCGGTGTTGGCGAACTGCAAGCTTTTCCCCCGGTTGAGCTCCCAGCCCATAGCGGTCTCGAAATCCAGCGTCACGGCTAGGGCGCCCTGGACGGCTGCCGCCGCCTCGCCCGCCTCCGCGGCCGTCGCGCGCATCCACAGCGCGAAGTCGTCTACGTAGAGGCGCTGGCGGAGCCTTGGCTCCAAGGCCCCAGCCCGCCGGCGCCGTGGGATCGTCGGGGCGCTGAGGAAGAACACGGCTAGAGCGCACCCTTGGAGTAAACCAGAGCTGGGCGACCAAGGCAAGCCGATTGCACGCCCGACGCGAATCCGCCGGCGGGCAGCGCAGGCGCTGGGAGCCGGCTTCGCGAGCCAGTCTGGCAGCCCTGCCCGCCGCAGCAGGCCCGGCAGCGACGCTAAGTTCACCGGGTCGTATGCCTTGCGCCAGTCGAGTGCGGCTCCTGCGATGGATTCGGACATCGCCTCTGCGGCTTCCAAGTCTAAGGCTAGCTCCCAGGCGAGCTCTTCAGCTCCCAGTTGGACATCCCCCCCCGCCCAGCTCAGCCGCCAGCGCGCGAAGTCACGGGCCCGCCCCGCCGCCCAAAGGCGATGCAGATCGGCAGCAGCCAGATGGGCCGCCTGTCCATGGGCCCCGCCCCCCCGCCAGGCTTCGGCAGGAGGGGCCCTCCTGGCGCTGCCAATTCGCTCGGCCACTCGCCGACGGCCCCGCCTCGAAGTCGGCCACCCAGCCCAGAAGCTCCTGAGGCAGTCGGCGCAACTCCGCCACCGTCCAGCCATCGAGCCCCGGCTTCTTCCGCTTGGGCATGTGGCGGAGCAGCTGCACGATGTCAGCAGCTGTTCACTGCTGCCTGGGCGGGGAGGGCGGCGGGCCGCCCCGCCCCTGCAGCCGGACCGCCTCCAGGGCCCCTCATAGAAGCGGAGCCTGGCGGCGGGCCCGCCGCGCAGCGCAAGCAGCCAAGACCGCCGCCCAGGAGCGTTCAGCGCCGCTGCTGCGGCCGCGGGGTCAAGCGCGAGCTCCACGTCCAGCGCGCCACTGCCGCGGATCCACCTGCAAAGGCGGCCCTGCGCGTTCGCCAGGGACTCGTCGACCCACCGGCGCCGCTCGCTCTGCCTACGCTCGCGCGCTGCCGCGCGGGCCGACGCCTAATCAGCCTCCGCGAGCTGCGCCAATGCCTCGGGGAACGCGGCATCCAAGTGCACCGCCGCCAGTCGCGCCCCCCACGCGGCGTCGCCCGCGTCTGCGGCCCGCAGCGCCGCGAGCGCCTCCTCTGCCGCGCCCCGCGCCGCGACGCTGCCGCGGGCCAGCGCGTGGCCGAGTCCGCGCGGGCGCCGCGGCCTCAGCAGGGCTGCGTCGATCTGCGACAGCGTCTGCCGCCTCGCCGCCGCCTCCGGCTGCCAGAGCCCGCTCCGCGCGCAGCGCAGCAGCCGCGCGCGGCCGCTCGGGCACCGTAGGTCGCCCCTGCCGCGCCGCCAGCCATGTCCGCATCGTCCTGCTGAGCACGGTCCGCGCCGCCGCCAAGTCCCGGGCCCTGAGCGCTTCGCGGCGCGGCGCCTCGTACTCCGCCACCACCGCCGTCGTGACATCCCGTGCAACTGCTGGGCTCCAGCCGTCGGCGGCAGCGCCATCGAGGGCTGGGGCCGGCTGCCGGATCCACGCCCGCTCGGGCGGACTGGCCCGGAAGGTCACTGGCAGCGCCGCGTGCGTGGCCAGCCCGAAGCCCCAACGGACGCTAACGCGCTCGACCATGCGGATGGCCTCGGCGCTGGCCAGGATGCAATCCCAGAGGATCCAATCCGACAAAAAGTTGCCAGGATGACAGTTATGTCGGGCCCACCCCTTTCTTTAAGCATTTCCTGAATTCGCTGGCCCGCCCGTGTAAGGACCCCGCAAAAGAAAGCCGGATCCCGAATTCCATCGCTCAATGTATGTATGTATGTATGTATGTATGTATGTATGTATGTATGGATGTATTTATACATATATATATATATATACTTATACTATATATATGTATGTCTACATGCACTCCCATTTGCACATTCATACCTATGTATACATATGTATATATATATATGTGTGTACACATGTATACATACTCATATATACATATGCATAGCACACATCTATGTGTGCATGCGAGAAGGGGGAGGGATGGAGGCAGGAGAGGGAGGGGGGCGAGGGTGAGGGAGGGAGGGAGGATGAGAAGGAATACGCACGGGAGAGGGTCTGAGGGACAGAGGCAGGGCGGGAGGGAGGGAGGGAGGGGGAGATAGAGCAGAGGGAGGGTGAGGGAGGGAGGGCGGGACGGAGGGTCAGGGGGACGGAGAGCGGGAAGGAAGGTTAGATGGAGGGAGGGATAGTGGAACTGAATGACGGCGGGAGGGAACACAAGCGACGTGGACGCACGGGGGCAGCCAGCACCGACATGTTTTCCCCTCGAAGTCAAAGATCCGCCATCGACAGGCGGTACTTGTCAACTAAACTGGTATGGAGCTTAGACACGTGCGCGGTCTCAGCCAAATCTGCGCAGTCTCCGATGGTTGATTCATCTGTGTATTCACAATGGTCCTGAGTTGGGTCTAGTATTCCGGGAGGAAGGGGGTGAGGACACAAATGGGGAGAGGAACGGGACAAATGGGAACGATGCATCCCCCAGATCTCCGCTCCTGGAGCCCCCCAGAGCCCCAGAGGCCCCTGACCCCATCTTCGATATCGATTTCGCGCCGTGGGCTGTCAGACTGGGCGGTCATATGACAGACTGGGCTGTCATATGACAGACCAGGCTGTCATATGACAGGCTGGGCTGTCATATGACAGACAAGGCTGTCATATGACAGACTGGGCTGTTGTAGAAACACAGCTCAAACGCCCATTCCAGTCGCATGGTTTCTAGCATAACCCCCCCATTTCAGTGAACCGTCCGCGGGATTCCCAGGGTGGCATTCCTCCGCGAGCTCGAGGAATAGATGATGTTTGGGTTTCAATTGCCAGCAAGCGTCATCCAAGGCGTACCGTCTCATGTTGGCATATAATATCAAATGTCTGCGGACGTAGTCAGCCAACTTCCGCGGGCTAGTGGTCATTCAACGTAAAACTGCGACAGCAGCCGAACACATCGAAGCCGTGTAAGGT